TGACTCACAGTCTTAATGGTGCCTGTTACCCTCCCTGTGACTCTCTCATGGCTCTGACCATCTGAAGGGAAGACACAGGAAGCCAATCTAACTTGAGGCACCCATGGGATTATGAGGGAGGAAGAGCAGGAGTCACTGTGAGACTATAGAAAACATTATGCCTAGAACTAAGTCGCAGAACAAATACTGTATAATTCCAGTTATATGAGGTATCTAAAATAGTAAACTCATAGATACAGAGAATAGAATGCTGGTTGCCAGAGAATGGGGGAGGGGAAAATGATGAGTTTTTCAATGGTGACAAAGTTACAGTTACATACAAGTTCTAGAGGTCTGCTGCACAACATAGAGCTCGTAGTTAATAGGGTGTTGTGTACTTAAAAACTTTTTAAGAAGGTAAATCTCATGCTATGTGTTCTAACCACAAAAAAAAAAAAAAAAGCTTAAGGACACAAGAAATCTTTTGGTGATAATGGATATGTTCATTACCTTATTTGTGGTGATAGTGTCACAGGTATATGTATATATTCAAACATACACAACTTTTTGTATATTTAGTTTGTCTCAAAGTTGAAAACAAAAAACAAATAATAAAGATAAACATAAGACAAAACTTAGAATATCAAGTATTGGCAAAGATGTGGAGCAACTGGAATTTTCATTCACTGCTAGTGGGTGATAAATTGGTAAACCAAATAACTATTTGGCAGTATTTACTAACACTGAATACATACATATCTTGTGGCAAGTAATAACACTCTTAGTTATATACCAAAATCAAATGTGTAACTACGTACACCAATAGGCAGGTACAAAAATACTCATAGCGGTATTATTTGTAGTCACCCCAAACTCTAACCAACCTGATGTTCAGCAGTATTAGACTAAAGAAATTTTAGATTATATACAAACATGAACATAAATAAACTACTACTATGCTCAATCTTACAGATATATTATTGAGCAAAAAGAGCCACACAAGAGTACCTACTACGTGTGGCCATTTATAAGGGTTCAAACACAGGCAAAAAAAAATTTGGTGGTAAAATTTAGAATAGTGGCTATTTTTGTGTAGGGGAGCAACGACTGACTAAGACCAAGCATGAAGAGAGTTTCTATATTGCTGGTAAACATTTAAAACATTTAAAATCTTGATCTAAGAGGTAGTTACACAGGTTTATTGACTGTTATCCAAAACATACACTTCTTTTGTACATACCCTATCCCTTTAAATATTTTCACATCTATCAATTTGGAAAAATTTTTAAATTGTATCAGTTTTCGCTAGGGTGCAGGAGAAGAGTAGCTCATATATTTGGGGTAGAAATGTAAGTTGTAATAGCTACTTAGAGGAGCAAAGGAAGGAAATCTACTACTATTTAGAATGTGCATACTCTATCCAGCACATTCACTTGTTAGTATCTCTACCTTGTTAGTATCTCTATCTCTACCTTGGAGAACATTTGCATTTAGGTACATTTGCATTTAGGTACAATATAAGTGTACAACATACACTTATATTGAAGGTAGCAACTCTCGAAAGAAAGAAAAAGAAACTACATGTCTGAGGGTAAGTGAATCATAAATTATATCTATTGGTTCTGAAGGCTACCGTGCAGTATTTTAAAAGAATGAGGTTAATTTGCATACGGATACAGAAAGGTCACAACTATATAATGTTGATTGGAAAAAAAAGTTACTTCTATACATATGTAAATGAACAGGAAACAAAAGTCATCATATATGGACTGAATTTGCAATTAGTGCCTGGGCAAGATTTTAACCTAATTTGTAATATGTGAATTTATGGTTATGTGTAATTTAAAATTAATAATATCACTTAGAATGTCTCTACAATAGCCAAGAAGTCAACAACAGTAGCTGCCTCCAACAGGCAAACTGAGTGCCTGAGGAACTGGAAGCGGAGACTTTTCACTGTATGACCATCTATTTCTTTAGGTATTTGAAGAATATAACTGTAGTATCAATTGGGAAAATTTTTAATTAAACTACGAAGATAATTTGAATTAGCATAATTAAAAGATGTCTAATCTCGTGGAGAAACATACACAAATGCAATTAAATGTGATTACTATGAAGATCGAGGTAACAGTTATTTAATAGCAGCGCAGAGAAAGGGTATCCTAAATAGGTCTGGGGAACTTGCGGAGAATTCAAAACGGAGATGACCTTTGAACAGAGAAATGGAATTTCCTACTTTTTCATTCCTGGGAGGTGTTCAGTGCGAGGTACCCAGGGGCTCTGAAATCCAGTCCTGAAATGATTGCTGTCCACAAGCGGGAGCCTAAATCCCCACCAGAATCCTGGAGAAAGGCGTAAGACGCAGAATCATCCGCTAAGAGGAAGAGGCCTCTTAATAAAATGGTGTAGTACAGACACAGTTAAGCCCAACCCCAGCTGCGCGCTCTTAGACGGAGTTCCAGATTTCCGCCCTCTCCTTAGGGCAGGCCAACCCGTCCTCTCCCGCCTCCCCGCCTCCCCGCGTCGCGTACTGGGCACTAGATGATTGACAGATTCATTCACCAATCACTGGCTCTACTACAGGGGCTCTGAGGCCCCATCCAGGTCTTTGGTCCCTAGGGCGAGAAGCGGCTTCTGCGCGTCTACGTCAGCGTGCTGACGTCACGGGCCGGGTACTCGAGGAGGTTCGGGAACGGCCCGCGTCGCCTACCAGGCTTGATCCCAGGTCCCGCCCTGCTGAGCCCTCCCCTCCGCTCGGTAGGGCCCCGTGGGCGCGACCGCGGAGCCGTTGTTCTGAAGCCAGATTAGGGTGGCTGGCTCGGAACTACCCGATGAGGTAGGTTGGATTTCTCATCACCCTGTTTGACAGATTTGAAAACTGAGTCACCTGGGTCAAATGACTTGCACGGGACTTTCAGGGCTCTACACCCGCTAACGGAGGCCAGAACTCTAGCATCTGATTCTGTTTGCTGCGTTCTGCGACGTCCTACGGAGAGGAGGAGGCGGGGCTAGGCAAGCTGTATTTATCAAAGGTACAAAAGTGAAGTTGCAAAATGATTAGCACCTTTTGATCCACGGCTTGAGCTGGGATTCAGGGGATGCTGAATCCCAGGGATGAGGTCTCTCTTCCTTCACTTTACGGACCCCGAGGAGTCCTCGGTGGAGTCCAGCCTCATGCTGGTGCCGTGGGTCCTCCAGAGTGACCGAGAATAGGCACTAGGTGATTCATGGGTTATACAGACCAAGTATAAGCGACCTCTTATTCATCAAAAAAAGCTGTTTCAAAACAAAACAATTAAAATATTAAAGCACAAGTCAAATGTTCTGACTATGGTTTCAGTTCACTGATTTGCCCACTCCTGGAAGTATTTTGAAATCTCAGTAGCATGCTTACTTTTGGTTTAAGATTAGAAAGGAATTTTTTTTTTTTTCTTTTTAGTTCCAACATGGGTTAACATTGTGGAATTTCTCTTACCATTCCATTAATATGCCAGTTGTTCACCATGTCATTTGTCTTCTGTTTCACAGATGGAATCACTGAATTCATCACTTGACTCATTAATAGTTTGGATAAGTTTAGCAAAGTAACAAAGTATCAGATTTAACTTCTCAAATATACTGAAATTCATTTTGTTTATCTCAGAATTCTTGTTGAGAAGGGTTCTGAAAGACAATTCTCATCTATATACAATCTGCTCATACATCCTCTCCTTCTAGGAGCAGTATCTCACAAAACAAAACAACTTATGGTACTCTTGTTTTATTTATGGATTCTAATAAGGCGGGACATAATACATGCTCATAAAATATGTGTAATGTATAATAAGTGTATACATATATATTTTATATTATCTGGAATAATTCATTCTCTTTAAATCTTGCTGTTCCAAACATCGGCCTTTTTAAGACTGCATGATTGCATAAAACTGCATTAAAGAAATTAAAGCATTTCCAGGTACTTTTTCTCATTTATGTTCACAGAAGGATGGTAATCGTTACCATTTGAATTTATTATTTGGACAAGTATATCTGATGAGTGTCTGATTTATGCCACACTTTGTTTTAGGTGTTGGGGACTGAGTGCTGAAAAATTTAGGTAAGGTTTCTGCCCTCAGACACCTTACATTTTGGTGGAGATATGATAAACATTTAAACAAAAATGACAATTTTAGATAATGATAAATAGTAGAAAAAATATTACAGAGTAAAGGGCTAGATAGAGTATAACTGAGTGTAGGGGAGAATTTAGTATGGTGATCAGGGAAGACTTCCTTGAAGAAGTGACAGTTTGGGTGAGACCTGGATGTTTGGAATGGCAAGATCTGCCAGAAATTTCCAGGTAGATATAACAGTGCAACAGAGCTAAAGGAAAAATGAGCTTGGCATGCCCCAAGGGTAGAAGAGAAGCGATGTGGCTGGAGTGAAGTGAACCTAGGGGAGAGGGAGATGGGGGAGCAGTGATAAGAGATGACACTCAAGAGGTGGACAGGAGCAGGATCATCTGAATGCCCTGTAAGAATTGCAGACAGGTAAAGGAAATAGGATTTGTACATTACCAAAGCACTCTTTGTTTTCTTTAGTGACCCTCATAAACGCTAACCAGCTCTCTGCTTTATTTTGATTATGAAATCGTTGCAGTAATTCACTATATTTTTTTCACCAGTGGTCCTCTTTCTTAGTGAAAAAGGTGTCTTCCCTCAAGCATTGTGTCCCATGATGTTTCCTTCCTGTTCGTTGTTATTATGTGTAGGACTCTAAGCTTGTCTTCAACTTCTTGCTTTTATTCTCCCTACTTCCAACCATAAGCCCTCTGCAGTATTATCTTTATGTGCTTGCCCATTGGAAAGGACTGGCAGTCAATCCCTGCTCTTCTCCAAACTGAGTTCTAGGAAACTGCATTGTCAAGTGGATTACTGTTTTTCATTTCAACTTTTCTTACTTAGTGCCTACAATGTGCCAGGTGCATTACATACCTTCTAATCCTTCTAACATATTGCAAAGGTAAATATCTCTTCTTGATGGAAAAGGAAGCTTACACTGAAGGCCACCCAGCTAGTACTGAAGGAGCCTAGATTTGAACTCTAATTAGCCTGCCCCAATGTCTAATCCATGCTACTTCACTACTTCCCTGAGTATGTAAAAGCAGCTACAAACCTCTATTATTTCAAATAATATTTTATGAAATGGCATGGTAGAGATCATGATTCAGTCCTCCTGGTTTAAAGCTGGGGCTGCGGAGGCTAATAAATGTTTAGTGATTTTCAAGACATGACTGACACCAAATTCTCCCCTTGCTGATTTTCAGCTTTATGTTTTTTTCTGGTGTACTTCATGAAAGTTTCATCATGTGGTTTCTGAGTATATATAAATATAGTATTCGACATCATGAATTTACTGTCCATAAACTCATACCAAGTAATTTTAAAAAGATGACACAGTGCTGCTTTGGAGGCTAAATTAATCCTTTGTTTTCTTATTCTCTTTTATCAACCATAAGTAGTTATAAACTTTCTAGATGAATCTTTGGTTTCCATTAGTAGAAAGTGATTTCAAAATGACATTAAAATTTAAGTTTTAGTTTCAGGAATCTTTGAAAGGACATTTAAAAGTCGTTACTGTTTTCCCAGCTTTAAGCTTATACTTACAAGTGTGGGAATATTACCTAGAGTTTTCTCATAGTTTCTGTCAGCAAGCGGAGTTTCTTCCTATGATTGAGGAAGCCCTTGAGTCAGCTCAGGGGGACATAATATCATTTTCTTAGCAATATATTATCATTTAAAAAAATAAGTAAAAATCAGTTTATAAGTTATATTTTATTTATTATGGTTGGGATATGATAGATGAATAATAATAAACTAACAAATAGCTTAATTTACTCTCTGGTGTTTTTGACTCTCCTATAACTTAATGGGGATTGTCTTTTTCATTAGTCAAATTAGAATAATGTTATGGGAATTAACACCTTCTTTCTTAAATGTTGAAAGATGTTTAAATTTAGGCAAAAGAGATCTTTTGCTGTTTCAGCCATCTACTGGATATTTCGACTTAGTATCTCTGTCCTTTAAGATTGTTCATGCTATAGAATCCAGGTTCTGAAGATCCAAGCTGTCATAATTTGTCCTCAAATTATAGTGCCCTCCTTCTGCCATTAGCACAGAGCCTCAAACTGGACTCCTGGGCTTTCCAACTTCCATTGCTGTGCCATTGTTGTGGTCTTCCTACAGTCTAGAATGCCTTCTGGATAGACAAATCCAGCTAAAGTTCTACCTGTCCCTCTGCGTATATCTTTGCTGATTTCTTGAGGGAGATTTCCTTTGTCTCTTTAATGGAAGCCTTCCTTTCAAAGCACTTTGGGAGTCTTTCTCTGTGATGCAGTTTACCAATTTTGATATCTTTGGTAATGTACTATTTTACACATAGGTGTTCAAATCAGTGTCAGCTTGAGCTTAAGAGAGACAATTCTTGTTATACATGCAACATTTTTGTAGCTTGTAGAGCCCTTTAGTTTTATTTACACTTTTATTACTCATCTTTGAGAGAAGCATTGGTATGCTTTTCTTGGCTTTAATCCAACAGAACTTTTTCCTGTTTCATTTAAGAGTCTGACTTCTACAGTTACCCAAGGGATCCCTTGAGAGGAACTCAAATCTTTGGATTGTAAATGTTGAAGGGCTATCATCGCAAATAAAAATGAATGTTCTCTGTGTTTATGGTGTCAGAAAAAAGTAACAACAATTTCACTTTCTATTATTAAAGATGAGAAAACTGAGGCCCAGAGAGACTAGCCAGGAGCCTCTGCAATGCTGGGCTAAGAAGCCTGGTCAGTACTCCTGATTCACAATAGCAAAAGCTTGTACAGGTTGTCATTGGGTCTGATGTCTGACATCAGAATTCCTGACAGCCTCTGACAAGTATATTAGCACAGCTCAGGCATTTCTGGATTATTTCGCTTGTTTTTCTTGTGAGTGGACCTGGATTTGGAAGATACATCTCTCTTGTGGTGACTTAAGTTCAAAGCAGGACCTCTCACCAAGGATCTCTGACTGAGCTGTTTAAGCCTGCTAGATTTTCCTGGGCAGGCATCAGGGTAGTATCAGGTTTGGTAAGCAATTTAGTTTAAAATTCTTCTACTTTCCTTCTTGTCATGGTTTTCCAAAAAATATCTCTTGAGACCTGTGGGCATCCTCATTATATTAAACTTGGAGTTTGGAGGAATTTTACCTTTTAAGTTGTGGTAATCACAGATTTCCATGTTTCATATTTTCCAGAACAGTATACTTTTCAAATATCGTGCATTATTGCTCATGAAAGTATATTCTTGTTTGCTTTTTTTTTCCCAGTAAAATATATCCTCAATTTTTTTTTTTTTGAATTAACCACTTGCTTGTCGAATTAATGATGTAGAACTAGGAAGTTTTAAGTACATTTTCCTATTACTGTGGTAGTTAAATTCATCAAAGATAACACAGGGAGCTCTTGAGCTATTAGATGTTTCTCCAGCTGAGGTGGAAATACCAGCCAGGCCTTGTTTGGGGCATTATTGATAATAATGAACATTTACAAAGAGCTTCCTCTGTGCCAGGTGCTGTTCTAAATGCTTTATGTCCAGGTTGCTCATCCTCAGCACTATCGACATTTTGGACTGGGTACTTCTTTGTTGTGGAGCTGTCCTTCGCATTGTAGGATGTTTAGCAGCATGTCTGGGCTCTACCCTCTAGATACCAGTGGCACCTCCCCAAGTGTGACAACCAAAAATGTCTCCTCTGCCCCTGACACCTTGAGAACCACTGCCTTATTTAAACTAATTTATTCCTCACAACAACTTTCTCGATAAGT